TAACAGTTTGGGAAACCAACCCTATAAGCCCAACGTTCCCTCCTCCATATACCAAACCTATATATCTTTCTCTGCACCTGTAAATGCCCATCAAATTAAAAGGATCACAAAACATAAACCCAAATTTTAAAATTCAAAAGAAGAATTAAAGAACTTCCAGCCAAACTCTGAGCTAGTGTTTGATACGATAAATCCATCATTATATAATTAATTCAACTTTTGTTGGTGGTTATTAATTTCCATGTGACCCTTGAGATCCATGTCAATACTAAAAATAATCTTTCAACAGTTTAATATAACACAAAACTAACTACACCTGAAACCAATCAATCCAAACTCGGTTACTATATATTTGCAATAATTTTAGTCCAAAGTGGTCCTTTAAATTTACCATGTACGATTGCAGTAGCAGCCTCCCACTGTGGAACAACACACATCGAAGCAAGCAAAGCTTTATTTATTAATGGAGGTTGCCCATCTACTATTCCTCATAAGCACTTGCAGTCAACTAGCTATAAAAAGTCATACACATGCGATCGACTAGCTCTAGCTAGCTAAAACATTAAGGATTCCTTAGTTTTTTAATTAAGATATTCATGTCTTTTTTTAAGATTTATGTGGAGTTTATAAAAAATTTATTTTCTCTAGGTATTATTTATTGGGGTAAGTGATACTTATCTTATAGGTGGACAAATAATTTTTTCATCTAGTGAGAAAGTTGCTAATATTCTGATAGGACAAAATTATCTCTTTTAATAATGTTTTTTTATGATTAAAATGGTCATTATTTTATTTACCTGGAAAATAAATAAATAAATAAAAACATGAATAATTAAATACACTTATCGGGATAAATATTTCACAGGAAACACTTAATTGAGTTTCTGATTGGGAATCTAAGCAGTGTTATCTTCTTGCAGGAAGTGGCAGATGGGAACAGTCCCAGGCTTAACCTTGAGTAATTGGAAGGCCAGATGCTGAGGGTAGTTGATCCTTAAAGTTGGGCGTACGATCATATATAATCAAGGCTCGAGAGGGTAGCAGTGTTGGAGTTTGGATACAGCTTTGTGCGTGGCATAACATTGGAGGCCAAGTAATTTATCTTGATGATCGGGTTTGGGAGGATGGTGCATAGTTGATTTAAATTTTGTATTTCATTTTCATCATTGATAAAAATAAGTTTTATTTATTACAATGAACATATGATATTAGAGACATGCCCCAAATTTTATAACCTTTTGTATTTCTATTTACTTTAAAATATTATTATTGCATTATGATATCATGAGTTGATTGACCCATCTGACCTAGATAGTTGAACCATTTATGCACCTCTTAAATGGGAAAACAGTTTTGCTTCCTAGTCAATTTTAAATTGCCATTTCCATCATTAATAAATATTTTTTATTTATCATTTTTTTTTGTTTAATATGATGGATATATAATATAAGGGTGTTCCAAACTTTTCTACAAAATTTTTATTTTTCATATTCTATCTATTTTTGTACTTTTATTTAATTATGATATCATGGATTGGCTCATTTATGACTTGATTGAGATGAATCAACCTATTATCAAAATGGAAAAAATGGTTTCATTTTTTAGTTGGATTTAAAAATATAGTTTTTTATACTATTAAAATTATATCCTATAGCTAAATAGATTTAATTAATGAAATTTTTATACAAAATTAATTGAATTCAATGGTAGGAAACAAAATTGTCTTAAACATCGAGTTTAATGAGAGAAAATTGAACTTTTTTTTTATTTAAGGGGCTACATAAGGGGGTAGCCCATCCCCTTAACCCCCTACCCTGGTGATAGATCTCATATCTCTATTACAACCGTCAGAGATCCTACCAACTGAGCTACCACCGGTTGGTATGAGAAAAAACAGGAATTAATACCTTAACCATACGTCTTGATGACTGATGAGAGGGTATATCCACTATTTTTATTTTCTCTAAGCTTATTTCAAATCTCAAGCGCATAATTTTTCCCCTCAGTCAAATTTTTGCTCTTTTGTATTAGTACAAACTACAAATCAGTTCTGGTCCGGGTCGGATTAATTGGGTACCTCATCCCCCCTCCAATGGGAGGCCCGATTAATTAGGCCCAACCTGGGCTGATTGATCTTCTTTTGAATGCAATACATTATGTATATTTTTTTTCTGTTACATGAATGGATAAAACAAATTCCAAGCCTACAAGTTGGTCAAATTTATCGCTGCAGCACATGCATCATACATAAAACACCAAACGGTTAGGCTCTATTTGTTTTCCATGTGGGGTGTCAAAGGTATTCAGAAATTCAATTTCAAATTCAAGATTTGATATAATTAAATTAAATTCGGATAATTTGAATATCTCATCAGTCAAATTCGGGTGTATTCATATTGAATGGTTAATCAGATTCGAATTCGAATATGATTTGATTTGATTCGATAAATATCCAATTTCAATAGATTATATATTTAATTCTTATATATAACATATAAAATATTTAAATGTTTAATTACATAATTTTTATATAATAATTAAATTAGATAAATAATTTATATATTTATATACTTTAAATAAATAAAATATTTATTTTATATATTTATTAATTACCTAAAATAATTAATTGGTTGAATTTGGATATTGTCTGATTCGATTCGAATTCAATACATTTACACCCCTATTTCCATGTAAAAAAAAAATCTGAACTGGATATTCAAATTTTGCATCCAGTTCAGTCATGCACTCCTATACATAAAAAAAAAAAAAAAAATTAAAAATTAAAAAACTTTTTATGTCATTTACACTACATGGAATCAGTTGAGAATACAAATATAAAAACAAAATTAGCATGTTCACTCATGATTGGTCACTTAGGTTTGTGCACTTGTGTTAGCACCAAATCGGGACATCATTTGCACTTACTAACGGTGCAAATTTTTCATCACAAAAAATGATGCAATAAAATTTGCACCACTTTCCTCCTAAGTCCTACCTCAATTCTCTCTTATATATATAAAGTGAAAACTTCATCATCTTGCTACCTACCTCACTCTCAAAGAAATTAATAACCCTCCTCTTACCTCTATTCTCTTTTATGGAAAGTGGAGAGAACAGCATTTTATTTCTCACAAACAAGCAAGACAAAGTCAAATCTGAAGTAAAAATAAACCCAAATTTGCATTTAGAATATCTGCACTCTCATGCATTTGAACCAGTGTAAACAAAACACTGCAAACAAACTGAATCTTAAAATCCAAACTGGATATAGAATTTGCGCCTGATTTAGATTTACATGTATCATCTTTTAACTATGATTTGTGCCACTAAACTCAAGGAAAATCTGTAATTCATGCTATATACCATGGCAGACCTTGAGCTCAGTATTGTTACCCATCTTCCGTATAACTGAGGTAATATTGTATTGTTTTTTTATAAATTTTCATTTTTGTCAACCTCATAAATTTTTATTGATTTTTTGGTTTTATTTATCAAAACTCTATCTATAATACAATATCCCCTCTTGTATTTTCATAAGTTCCCCACCTATAATTATTCCCAACTAAATAAACCAATAAAAATTTATGAGTAAGTAATTGAAAGATTCCCCCCTTTTTGGCAGCAAATGTAATAATATTGTATTGTTATTGCTCCACTAACATCGCCCAAACACTTGTCCAAAAATTAAGAAGAATTATTTTAATTTTTTTTCAAAAAGAAGTGAATAATTGAAGATCAACACCGTTAGCTACTGGTTGCAATATATGAGATGGTTATATACTAAGTTGGGACAGATGGAAGATTTATAGTCAGTAACAAGCAATGGATGTATTATAATACGGCTGTGTTTGGTTTGAAGGAAAAAGTAGAGAAACCTATACAAGATTTTGTAAAGGTTTTCTTACCTTTTCCTTCTTTTCCCTACTTTTTCTTTTAAATCAAACATAGCCTAAGGGAACCAGCTGCAGATCCAAATTCCGAAACCCTGTTTTTTCTTTTCAGCCTAAAAGATTTCATCCCAGGTCCTCAGCCCAACCAAAAAGAAATTAAAGCCCTAGTGTATGGTCTTCTGGCCTCCTATTCCTTTTTTATCATCACCCAACTACTGAATTCAGACATTATTGTGATTCTACTTCGTCTTTACTCTTTTGGAGTACTGGAGAAAGTGTGGTGTAGATCAAAAGTAGTTTCCATTTGCAGAATTGAAGCACTTTGCACTCAATTCAAATCAAAGTATACCAAACCCTTCAATCCTCAGTCATCATTCTTTATGGTTTTCTTTTTTTCAAGAATTACATTTTGCTTTGGGATGGTATTGGTATATATAGTTGTTGCTGCCCTGGTCACGATTGTGGAATATCACTTATAGCATGAGGTGAGGTTTAAGGAAGGCCTGATGCATCTCCCTTTTTTTCTCTGACTAGCCACAAGCTAAGATCATATAGTAGCTTTAAAACAAAGAAATATGTTGAGGCTGGCTTAATTAAAGCTTCAGATTTTTTAATATAGACTTGTGTTATTCTCAGTTGTAGATGAAGATGAGAAAAAAGGAAATGGTATGCCAAAAAATATATATATATATATATATATATATATATATATATATATATATATATATGAAGTGTTGTTCAAACTTCAAAGGAATAGTAGATAATCTTTATTGGAAAGGTTTTAACTTGGTAATATTATATTAAAATAAGAATTTCCCTACTAAGGGCATTAATGTCCATTCACACGATGCCCTCGGAGCCAAAAATGGAGTTCCATTATGATAACCCATTTTGCTTATTTGTGTGGCAAACTTTGTAAGAAGTCAAGAAAAGTTTTCCAACCCATGATTTCTACTGTTGTTCATGATTACAGCTTCCCTAGATTAATAATAATAATAATAATAATAATATGGGATTTTTAAATATTTAAAATAAGGATATAAGACATTGTTTATGCTAACAAACAATGCCGTGCAATGCACGGGAATTAATCCACTGGTTAGTGGAAAAATAAATAAGGGGAAGAGAAAAGAAAAGGTAACAAAGAAGAAAGATAAAGATTAAAAAAAATGGAGCAGAATAACCGATCAAGTTATCCAGTTAGAGGCCGGAGGTGAACGGCACACCTGTCCCAGGTAACCATGAACGGCCGGAGATGAAGTTACCCACCGTGAACAGTGAAGCCTCCGATGGGTTTCTTATGACACGGTAGCCACGCCATTTCACCCGCCTTGCAGTGGAAGAACCAGGCCCAATGTTCTTATACTCTCCATAATACAGCGTATTCAGAGCAAAACTACCGCCCCATTCCAACCATCCAGCAGGATCTACCAACCCATCAAGATATGTCTGCAGATATACAGTTCGAGAATACTGCTGCCATGGTCGACCCAGAAATGTCTTCACTGAGCTCAGCACTGGCCTCAGGTCCGATGAAGCTATGACTCTGGACTTGTGGATTGAAATACCGGTGTTCTGATGAGGATCGGATCGTCCCTGTGCCGTGATAACATTCGCTTGCCCATGCAATGGCCTCCTCGCGACGATCATGCAGTTTTGGAGAACTACAGCTGCATTTCCGAATATAAAATCGATTGTGCCATAGATGTAGCATTGTTTGTAAAACTGCCGCTGAGAGTGGACGTACAATGTATCCTGATATCCTATAAAGCCGCAACGGTAGAAAACAGAGAGGTCGGAGCCGGAAACCAGCGCCACTGCTTGGCTCAGCGGACCGGCCGTGTTACGGAATGTGATCCCAGTTGCAACGAATCGTTCACCACTCACCGCTGGTATATAGCGATAAAAATTTGAAATCCAGAAGAAGAAAAAAACAATTAATATTTCTCAGAAACTATATATGGCTGTCCTGTCTGCTTAGGATTGTTGGTTGATAAGTTGACAAGTACTATTTCCAAATAATTGTTAAGGAAGCCATGAAGAAAAGAAGTAATCAAGTAGTTATTAAAGAAAGTGACTGAGCTCTCTCACCAACAGTTGCAGAGTTGAAGGTGGTGTAGCCTTTTCGCACACTCCTTGAACCGGTGATTAACGTTCTTCGCATTCCGTCACCGATGAGCATGATATTCGGCATGTTGTTTCCGATCTCAATATTCTCCCTGTAAACACCCGCCTTCACATAAATAATAAACCTTCGGCTTCCTCTCCTTAGCTTCGACGCCGCACTGATAGCTGCTTTGATGGTGCGGAAGTGGCCGGACCCATCTTGTGCGACCACAAGGTTAGCCCGTGAGGCCAAAGACGACGACTGCAAGAGCTTCCGGTCGGCAGCCGATACCCAGGTTGGGAAACCGCCTGTGTAATTCTGTTGCTCGGATGGAATATCGTTTATTGCCAGAGCGTTGCTGATCAGGTGGGAAACATTGTTCGAGACGAGAGGCAACAAGACGTCCGAGACGCCGAGCTCAACAATGCCCGCCTTGCAGGTATCGAGGTTGGTGAGAGCCGTGCTCAGCCATGTTTGGGTATCAGAATCGGTGCAGTTGGCGATTGGGTTGAGAGTGCGGTTGAGTTGCAGAATGGTGTCCTCGTAGAGCTTCAAACAGTCGACCCATGCAGCCCGCTCTCGGTCATTGCGGCATATCTGGCCTAGCCACTTGGTGTGACTCTCAGCCTGGAGAGCTCGTTCCATTGCAGCCTGCAACGCCATCTTCCGGAATTCGGGTTTCTGCTTGGGGACCGAAGGGTTAGGATCGAGGTCGCCCAGGGAAGACCTGCAATCGTCGGGGTATGGGGTTTTCTGGCACCACCAATCTGTTCCGCCGGAGACATTGTAGGACGAATCAGCAAGGGTCGACGACAGAAAGGAAGTGCAGGAAAGGAATGCTAGAAATATTGGAACAAGCATCGCCACCATGTTCGACATAGTTCAAGCTCTAGGATTTATCATTTATGGGTCGTCTCGTCTATATTTAACTGGGCTGGCCATTAATAAATTAATGAGATGGGATGACAAGCAGATCCCGTTCCATGAACATAGAGGTTGACTGGTTGAGTGTTAAGTGAACAATCTCCAATGGCGATGGCACATGTATAAAAGGAGACAGCAGCTGGAGGGAGACAGGAAGAAAATAGAAGAATATAAAGCAGATATTGATCATAGTGACGTAAATTATTTTTCCCGTAGACTTTGGATCTAAGTTTTTTTTTTTCTCTTTTAAATTTTTGTTATAAAAACTAAAAAGTTTCTGGCGTAAGGCAAATGCAACACTGCACTAGCCCCCATAAAAAGTGTTTGTTTATCATTTTCTCGGTTGTATTGATCTGATAACAGAATTTAATGGATGGAGAGAGATCTGGGGTGCAGGAATCTCAGTTGTCGGTAGTAACACATGATTGAGTCTCGAGCTTTAATTAAGAGTAACAAGGGCATTAATGGAATATATAATTATACATGTATCCTAAGTTTTAAAATACAAGTTGCTGCATATAAAATTACAAGTCTTTAGTATGAAGAATGGTGACATATTCACATGGTCTTTTTTTTCTGTAAATGCATATTCAAATGGACTACCACACTTAATTGGGATGCTTCCTTGATGCACAACATAGACTATTAATTTATAACAGATGGTAGACCGGTTTGGATCGGGTCCAGTAAAATCGATCGGTTTGAGGACAATTTAGTATGATTCAATGAAATCGATTTATAATAAACCTATATATATATATATATATATATATGACTCAGGTCAGTCTAAATCGGTTTAAGACTGAGTAGAATTGGTTCTCAACTGTTAAATTTTAATTTCATAAGAGATTAAATCTAATGGGTTTTATTGATCAATTACATGAAAAATTGTAAACACTTGTTTGGAAAATTAGTTTTTCTCTTACAAAAATTTGTCGCACATTGGAAAATTATAAGCTTTGTTTTCAGTATTTTAATAAGAGTTGATTTACACTCCTTAGAAATAGTAGAGGAGAGTATGGGGGTTTCATACTGCGCAACGAGTGCGCACATGTGTGTGGCGCAATGAGGCGCACTTTGCTCGCACTCATGTGGCTGGCAAAGGGTGGCTTTGGTTTTGGTGCGATGCTGACCGTTGATCACCGTTGATGAGATCAACGGTCACAATTCGATCGGGTGTAATCAAGAGGCACAATTCATAGTTAACAGTCATTACCTTTTAAACAGTCACAATGTTTGAAATTATGACTGTTCAATGTGACTTCTCTGAACCAGCACCTACCTTTTCTTCATATCTCTTCATAAACTATTTAAGGAGCACGAATCTGACTCCAAAAAACACACATTTTCGAAATCCGCTTTCTCTCTCTCTCTCAGTCCGGTCTGCTATAGTCTCACAGAAGGTTTTTTCAGAGATTCTTCAACTTTGCTGGTTGTAGATTCTCACCCAAGGCTCTATTGTATCCTGGGAACAGATTTGCCTATAACCCAACAACAAACTCAGTGAAACTGAGTGGGAGCAAATAATGTTCTGAAAACAGTGTCTTCAGACGTGCCTCAGAACTTCTCCTCCAAAGTTACAGTGACCCCATTTCCCAACATGAACCAACAATAATCAAGACAATATATTAAGAACCAGAATCAATTCATCAATACTAGATCCTGAAACTATAAATGATCCAATTGATTCGGGTCCATCTGGTTGGACCCGACCCATTGACAGCCTTAATTTAATGCCATATCTATCATTAGATTATGGGCATTTAAATCATTCTTAACACTTTCATTCAAGGCCCTTTCGATCTGTTCTTAGTTCATCTGGCTTCTTCAACTTGTAACATTTTCTAACAGTTGCTGTAAATGGTCCTTTCTGCACATGAAAGTTTGGAGCCTTTTCTTTTGTTACATTAAATTAATTTCTTGTTTCATTTTCTCTATCTTCTTCATTTTTTTATCCATCTTTTCAACATCCTCCCTTCTTTTGTTTCAATTCGTTAAACAAGAATTGCAGATGAGCTAAAGAAGATTCATGGTGATTATTTTCAATGACAATTATCATTTTCAACATTTTGCTTATGTTACTTGAGAGTTGAGACTATTAGTACTAGTGTTGAAGTAAATGATTTTGCACTTATTTTTTTCATTATTTTAGAAACTCAAAACAAATAGTCCATGTTTCTAATAGTGTTTTGCTTTTTAACCAGAAGGGTTGCATTGAATCAAAAGTAAATTGCGTGCATTTCTTAGACTTTCAATTATTAGATTATAATACATTTCCCTCCACTCCACATCCCTCAGGCTGCATTTGGAAACAATGCAAATATGTAGAGTGTAAAACGGTTTATATAAATTGCAAAGTTGGGTTAGTTTTGCATTGACAAATTTACCTTCTTACCAAATAGACTTTTAGCTGTAATGGATGTAAACACGAATTCCAATAAAGCATATGTTTTTTTTTATCAAAAGCCCACTTGAATGCAAATTTACTTCTTTTCTATTGATGTACTTTTACATCTTATTGTCGATGTAAATATGCATTGGTTTGTCATTTGTCAATGCAAAGACGTAATGGTGTCAAACATAGGCAAAAGTGAACCAGAATGCAAATTTACCCTGAACTGGGATTTACATTACATCGTTTCCAAGTGCAGCCTCAATGCTTTTGTAGTAGTCATAGCATAAAAGTTGAGCAACCATTAGTCTATTACTAGTAAATTTGAACTAAATGATGAAGGGAAGATTGCTTCCAAGTGCATATATGGCCTTTTATTGATTTTACAAAGTATATGGCTGATGCTTTGCAAAATCAATTTGGAGAAAAAAATACCTTAGGAGAGGCAATTAACCATGATTTATAGAGCTCAATGTAATATGATCAGGAAATATAAATCAGTGAGTCTATTTGCGATAATCATGGCAGGGAATGGAACAAATTCCAGGGACAATGCATATATTGACTTAAATAGTAAAAAAGATGATGAAGCAGCTGGAGAACATCAGCTGAAATGGTTTAACTGTGTTCATCAAAATATTACTTCACCGAATTCCAAAGGGTAGTCATTGTCTAACAAAACGGTGAACATCCCGGAAATGTTTTTCCATCTTTTTCATCCTTTTATTTTTACTTACAAATGTGCTTAGTAATGCCCTTCCACAGGTCCACTAGTGAAAATAAAATTCTCATGATGAGACTCCTCTAATAGTGGGTCCTGACCCTCTAAATATAGGGCAAGTGGCAAGTTACGGGATTCTGGTTCTTGTTTTCACACTTAAGCCTCTAATGTCTTTCCTTTTCTCCTTTGAGGGTGCTTCTCATATTATTTGTTTTAATGAGTTTTCAACTTAAACCAAAATGTGGGCCGGATATATAAACCTGAGTGACGTTGCTAATCTTGGTTTTTTGATAAAGAATGGAAATGTTTATCTTTGTCTAAATATGACCAAACTAAACTAAATATGAAAAAGCCCAAAAACCTCTTCTACGTGAATTGTCCCTGTTTTAACATCTTCTGTGGAAGAAATTAATGATAACATATCTGATCGTTCGGGAAAAAAAAAATAATTGTAAAAGACAAGGAATCTCCCGTGTGTAAACATGGTTGGGTTTGAAAACTGATTTATTCAACCCTGAAAACCTGGCCACTTGTTATTTCCTTCTTTTCATTCCCTGATAGAGTGAACTACACAATTCCACTTTTATGACAAGGAGAAGACAACAAAAAAGAAAGAAAGAAGATTATAAAATGCTCTGGTCGTGCCTTCCCACTCACAACCAACGAAAATTAAATAAATAGAACATGGAAAAGCTTTTCCTTAACGCTATGTTTGGTTTGAAGGAAAGAATAGGGAAAGGAAGGGAAATGCAGGGAAACCTATACAGGATTTGTAAAGGTTTCCCTTCCTTTCCTTTCCCTACTTTTTCCTTCAAACCAAACATAGCCTAAAGAACAGTTATATCATTAGTTAACAAAAGACAAAAAAAAAAAATGTTTGAATGTAATTGGTCAAATTGCATGAGAAATGTGAATCTCCATGTTGGCAATACCTTTAAGGCTCTGAAATGTCTTTACTCATAACATGAGTTATACTCCAATGACCAAAATTTATCAGAAAATAAGAGAGAAATGCAATTAAAGAACTCTGCAATGATTTTCGGTATCAGCTAAGCAAGGACTATCCGCTCAGATTGATTTTGGAGGTATGAGATCTTGCAGGAGCTCATTGAACAATTGGTTGCAAGTCATAGAAGAAAAAAAGGGAAAAAAACTTACACAACTTAAAGCTTAAAGATGTATGTTAACGATGTACAAGCGTGTAAATTCTTTCATTGATTATAAGGTCTATAAGGCAGTATTCGATCTGGCTATAATGCTAAATTCATGGAGCCATGAGAATTGAAATCCACTGTGCCTTCTTGCTGTCAAAATCCAACAAAGATATTTCAGCATCTCTATTGAAGAGCAACAATAAAATAATCGAACAACAGGTTAGGCAGTTTTCATGGGGGAGCCACCTTAGGCCAAAGCATGGCGTGCCACAAAAGATTCAACAAGTGGGTTTACAAGATCAGGTGCCTCATCCTTCATGACCAGCCAGAAAGAATTTCATTCAGTTAGGAGTTGAAGGCAAACATGGTAAGAATTAAATAGAACATTGAGAGAGAGAGAGAGAGAGACCTGAGGGCAATGGCCAACATCAGGAAGGACAATGAAGTCTTCTACCGAATCAAAATTTCCATAAGATCTTCCAAGCTCAATAGGTTCCCATGGATCCTTGTCCCCCCATGCTATTAGAATGGGGCACTGGAAAGAAGGAATATAGAAGTTGCCATCTTTCTTAACAATGAAATCTACATGACTAGCCACAAATCATGTTACATATTTGGGATCTGAGCAAGGGTTTCACCTTCACTTGAGGTATTAGCTCCTCAGGTAGAGGACCCTCTGAATAGCAAATGAACTCAAGAAAAACATCTACAGCTCCAGGCTCAAGTCCCGGCAAAAGGATCTTTTGAACTAATTCTTCTGTCACCTGAGAAGTGTCACGGTAACACTGGAAGACAATTTCATTAGAACCAGCCAAGGTAGACAATAGGGGCATAGGTGAACCCCATTTGTTCTATAACCTAGTTATTTCAAATAGACAAATGCAGTTGTGAGTTTCTTGTTGTATAACTCTTGTTTTTCTCTTTCTTTTTCATTTTCATATCTTATCCTTGTTTTACCTCTTACGCTACCTACAGAAGAATACTCTGCATGCAAGGGTTTTGATGGTCATACCTGGCAAAGGATACTTCTCACAGACTGTGGTGTGGCTACAGAGCTGTAAAAGAATTTACCCACAGCGGTGTTCCTGGCACAACATCACTATCTCAGCATCTATGATGGCATGGTTTAAAGACAGAAAAGATCCTCTCGATGAAATTATTGGGAGTACATTACTCTCTTGTTGACACTAAAAGGCCATAACCCAATGTTGGTCCCAGCTCTGGGGTCTTTAGAGTCTAATATGAATTAATTACTCTTGTCATATGTCTAGAGGATCTATTTTCCAAACAACAGCCAAGAAAACATCAAATCCTTTTCACCTTAGTAGACTCTGAAATGATCTGATAAAAGGCCTTCCATACCAAGGCTGCTTCTTAATATGAAGCATACGTAGGGATATATTGAGAAGAAAAATACCCCTACAGATTTCAGGCTCCATAACTGCAGCCTGGAGACCAACAAGTCCTGCATAGGGAACAAGAAACCAGGGATGAGCCTCAATTTCATTGACAATATAAGTCTTGAAACTTGTAAATACAACTGACGAGTTAGTAAGGTATTAATGTCATAACATTGCTTCATATTAGGAGAATATTTTTTATAGCCCAACATGTTTTCACATTGCTCTTATCCTTTTTTGCAAGACAAAGCACCACCATGTATGCAAAATACTCATAAGGTATTCTGTTTTTCTTGTTTGATTAGTGGTGACTGCTGATCACAGTTTTTTATTGTTTCCTTCTCATTACTCAAATGGGAAGGGGTTCCAGTCCTACTTTTATATCAGAAATAAAATCTCTCTGATCTGTTTCTGATAAAAAATATCATGCAAATTAAACAAAGACACTAACCAAATTCAAATATAAAAGAAGCGCATACAATGGCAATCAAAGTAACTTTAGAGGTTGACTTTGTCAATGTTTCTTTGACAAAAAAGTGCTATAAAAAGGAAAAAGTAAAAGACTGTGAGTATGAAATCAAGAGATACTTTTCGAAGCATAAAACGTGAAGTACATGACAATTTAAAAAAGCACAAAGAGAATCATTTAAAGTTAGGAAAAGATGATTGAAACCTCCCAACATGTAAAAACATAATTGAGAATCATAAAATCAAATTATTTGTTTTTTCAAAAATGCACTTACATACAAGACCACACAATTGATATATGTGAGGTTTCTGCAGAATGCATTCGTGTTAATAAACATGGTCAAGTTAAAACCAATATGCCATTCTTATGTATGGAACATGGTCCTGGGACCTTGAATAAGTTTCCTATTGTATGACAGCCTCAGAGAGATTCTTAGTGCATAGAAAAAAGTAGGGAGATCCAGTGATTATATTTGATGCTTTTTTATCTTGCATCAACACTGCAAAAGTGGTAAATCAAGGCAGTATAATATCCAACAATGATCATCATCATCTAAGCCTTATCCAAACTAGATGGGCCGACTAATTATATCCAACAATTATGCAGTTATTCAAAAGAAACCAAAACCTAGAAAAAGTGATCACCTCCAATTGAATTGCATATGAAGAATGCTTTGTCTTTTACCACATCAGTGCAAAAGTCATTTAGCTGAGAGGCCCATGTCTCAAATGTATAAAATGAATTGACCCCAAAATTACGTGGATTTGGTTTGTCAGAATAACCATAACCAATAAGATCAATTGCATATACCCGGTGTGATTTCGCAAGAACTGGAATATTTTTCCTCCAATGATCACTGTTAAGTAGGACAACAATGAGTTACTGCCACAAGTAGGGAGAGACAATATGTGAAATAAAAGAGATTAGAGAGGAAACAAAACCAAATAAGACATGCCATCCATCAAAAACACAAATAAGATATGTCAAATACAATGTTAAAATCAATATACCCCATATTGTCAAGATGATTTCATAATTAATAATAAATAAGTAATCAAATAATAAAAGGAACAATGTTACAGCCCTAACTGTTAAATTGCAACAAAGCTCCTGAAAAATCCTTTCATGGTCTGCAATTTCTAATCACATGACCCAAATTGGCTTTCTAAGTGTCAATTGGAAGATGCATCCAGCTGGTTCACCAGCCAAAGTCAATACAACTCTTAACTCCTCAAAATACAAAACAAGGGCATGAAAATTATATCCAATTATGTCGATGCCATGTTTAAGTTATAGTATTCTATTCTATGCATTATTTCGTGTCTTGTTACCAAGCTAAACTCAATCTAGCTTCTAACACATAAGAGTTTCTAGATTAGGTTAGTCAGAGCATGCTACTTAAATATATATCAGTTAATCTCAACAGCATTGCCAATAGTAAATGCAAGTAATAACAGATACTAAAAAGAAACAAAAAGCTGTGGCATAGAAGTATAGGGGCAAAATTAGCAACTAGTATCAGCATTGTATTTCATCAAGATGGTTTCCCAGGCATGTTGAAAATCCCAAGCGCCCAGGCATAATCATATGTAGCTACCTTGTCTTAAATGAAACATAAACTATTTCAATGTGTTCAATGAAGCCAAGAAGATAAAATAGTTTCTCATTTATATTGCACTACATGGATCCTCAGAAGAGTCAGTCACCTACAGAAAGGTGGAGGTGTAAATAATGTGTTCTTTACTGGAATGCCAATCTTACAGTAGATATAAATTATTGATCAACCAAACTACATGATTCAAAAGAATCTATTATGCAAAATAAGTATTGATTAAACAGATATTTATGTAAAGCTATTTAGCTACATAGTTAGTTGCTGCTCCAAGAGAAATAGGTGTCAAATGGATCCACCTCTGTTTGAACACACCCAACTTCCATTCACAAAGGTACAGGGTCAAGAATAAAATCTAGAGTCAATATTTTAAAGATTCTAACATTTGTAAACCCACATTATTTGAGATCGGCTTCAGTCAGTGCAAGGCCCATTCGAACACCATTCGAACAGCCTTACAGCCTTGCATCGGGAATATCTCCGTACTTCTGTGCTTTATTTCATGGGGAGATATTCCCAATGCAAGGCTATGATGGCTGTTCGAACGGGCTTTGCACTGGCTGAATCCGGTTTCCATTATTTTTCAGAAAACAAAACATTTGTAATCCCACATTCATAACTAAAGACATATATAATATTTACCTTTTAACATAACACCACACATACACTTTCAGGTAAATCTGATGCATCCCATACTCTGCCATGCAAGGCCAATACATGAACCCTGTAGCCTGAGTATAGCAATGTGGACAATATATAATCTAAGGTCACCATATATGAATATTAGGTTAAGGCATTGATGTGCATCTACACATAGAACTCACACAATCCCTATATACATCTTAGTTGAAAACAACTTTACAGAAGTGTATTGGTCTCTTACAAGTACTATGGCTCCTAAATTATGTATCCGGTTGTTAAATTCATAGAGTTTTCCAAGTAATCTATGTTACGGAGTCACAGAAAGGACTTGTGAACAAGGTCATCATCATCTAAGCCTTATCCCAACTATATGGGGTTGGCTAGACAAGCGAACAAGGTGTTGGAGACAAATTTTGCACTTAAAAATGAAATTTCTGTAACAGAAACAATGACCATTTTGAAGTTCCCATTAACCCATACAATAGTTTGTGGAGTCATGCACAACATGGCTTGGTGATGAAACCAAGCATGCAGGCCTCAAAGCACACACACATGACACAACACCAAGTCTACATTCCTGTTCCTTGTCTAACTTGAGCTGCAAGCTGCAGACTAGCCCACAAGTTTTGTAAAGTCCTGATCCTGAAGCTCCCTTGGAAGAGTCTAGAAATAGAATATCACAAGGAACATTCCTCAGAGTATGGCTGTAGTCTTTTTCTCTTTAAACAAGTCTTTCTAGTATGCCATTTTTTTTTTTTGGCTTTCAACTTCCCCTACCAACAACAAAATAAATTAGAAAAGTTCTTAGAAAATCAGATAAGATCAATTGCATACAACCATACCCTTACGAGGTTCCACATATGAATTATAGTTACATATTATAAATTATTTCAATTTGACCGCCATATTCAGTTCTTTCTTTTTCTATCACATAATATACATTACAAGGGAACTCAGGTGGGGACTGCGCACAGAGCAGGGTGCATGTGGGGTCCTATTACCATATCACAAAGAGCCTGTGGTTACAAGGGTTTGATCACGTGCATCCATTTTCAGAGGGACACCGAGTGACCATCTCAACCACTGGGTCATCTGTGCCTGCCATGTTCAATTCAACCACCACAATTTCCAACAATTGAGTTAATTGGAGTATATCTAGAAATATGTTAGAATATGATTTTTAGCATTATATGAGTGTATTAAATGTTGCTACACATTTCCAAGAATCATTGAATCAGTCCTCTCGAAAATACAGTAAAGCTCTCTTCCAATGTTCGCTTCATTCCAATGTGCGTCGATTGCATCTTCCAAAGGTAGGTAGTTCCAAAGTTAGTC